CTTATTTAAACCATTCTGTTTACTCCTGTTCAATATGCACAAGCAAACTACCTCAAATTGGTATCATTGCCCAGCTCTTACAATACAGAAAAATGTCTCACAAAAATAAGAAAACCTGAATTAAATTATACACAATAACCTTTATTATGGGCATAAAGCTATTTGTATTGTAATGATAGGATTTATAACAAATTGTTTAGTAATGTACTGGACATTATACTTTTTTTGAACAAAGCAGTTTAAATTGTTAAAGAGATAGAGTTGTGGTTGGAACACATAGACAGATACCGTCATTATTATACAGGCTGTCGGTTTGAGTATGGATCAAATAAAAAGGATTGATTCTAATTCGCAAGCAAGAGAAGGAAATTCAAATGTAAAAAAAAAGTATTTCCATACCGTTGATGATAATTTATCATCACAATCAGCCAATTAGTATGGGAACGTCATTTTCATTTTTGAGAATTTGCATTATAATTCCCGTTGGAAAGTTTTTGCATTTGAGCAGTCGAATCAATGCTTTTTATTTGATTCATACTTAAACTGACACCCTGTATAAGCAAGTACTTATTGCAAGCGCACCTGTTGATTTAGGTATTAAAAATCAACAAGCAAGCTCTCAAATGCTGTGTGTGACCACAATCCCTGTATCTATTTTAAGACAGGTGTTTATAATGAATTCTCCGAATAAGGTGACCATACCAAGACTTATATTTGATGCTGTCAATGAATATTTTAGTTTAAAATTAAAATCACATGATACCCTCAGTTTATTATAGAATGTTTAGAAACAAATAAAATATTCTGAAAGTGTTGACACACACACAATGTTAGGGATATGTCTTTAATAAAATTAGTTAATTTAGGTGAATTGAAACTTTTTTTAGTAAAGATAAAGCCACTTTCTTATCTTGTTAATGTTATTATAAAATTATTCAAAAAGAGATTGAACCTCTGTTTCAAAACCATTTTTTGTGACTTATGAAATGTTCAAGTTGAATATTCAGTTAGCAAACATTTGCTTTTAAAATTCTTGAAGGCGTTTTCCACTTTCGGTTACTTCTCAAGGAGTTGACTTTTGACTTTGACTTTGACACTTTTGTACTTTTCGCTGTTAATAAAGGAGTAAAGTGTGGTCACCGCATTCCTAGGCACGCGACAGAAGATTCCCGGAGTAGGGGCATTGACGAGTTTCCAAAACGGGACCGAAGCCCGCAGGAATGCAATAAGGACTCAAAATAAACTTCGCAAAAACCTCACGCATTAGCATCGCACTTTGTGCATAGATATTAAATAGGATAACCGTATATAAGGCAGTATGGCTCAATATATTGGTCTTATCTGGCATTTAAACCGTGATTATCTTTGGGAAGATAAATGAGTGAAATTTTAAATGAATCAGATATCATTCTTCACGATACGATACGACCTTTTAAGTTTTACTTGTATTACTTGGTTGTTCCTTAATCGTATTACTTGTTTGTTTCTTGACTGTATATTTAATAAACAGAGTTGATTTGGATGACTGACAACAACAAAAAAAGTGTTGAGTTGAACCGGAACATCTACAATCACTATTTCATAGCCCAACTTTTTTACTCGTTCGTTGTTACGATTGTGTAGTTAGTTCCTAGAAACAGCCATATTTCATATTTATTCCATGTCAAAACAATACGTTTACTGCAATTTGATAGCACCGTACACGCCGTATCTTCTAAATATATAAAAGGAGAAACTGACTGACTGACTGACAGATCAACTCACAGCCTAAACGGCTAAACGTAGGCACTTGAAATTTGGAAGGGACGTAGCTTAGGTACCGTAGAGGTGCACTAAGAAAGGAATTCCCGAAATTCCCACGGGAACGGGAATTAGCGGGAAAAACGGGATTCACGCGTACGAAGTCGCGGGCGGCCGCTAGTTACCTTATAAACGATATCGTTCATCTACCCACGAGATGAGCCGATTGGATTTCCATTGAATATAAACAAAACCTATCTCCCGTAATCATTTATGTGCGCCGCGGACAATTGAAAAGGTCTCTAGTGTTATTTATTGTCATTCCATCGTCCACGTCATTCACTTCCATACAAGTATTTGCTTGAGTTTCCCTCCATACTATTAACATCTTTATGTACGGCAGAGACAATGGATGGCGAATAAAATGAGCAAGAGTTTGATATTGTCTCATTTACACTAGCTGCTGACGGTGGCCGACACACGACAGGGAAAAAATCAACCAACATTTGCAAGTTAATCCTGGGATACTACAACATATTACGCTCTCCGAGGCGAGATGCGAGACGATCTGTTTTAATGACATGATGGAGTTCTATCGATAATACGATGAAATAGAGTTTAGAAAATGTTTGACAAAAGTACACTACAAAATAATATTGTGTTTTGAATATACCTACCTACCTACTATGATTAAAATAAAAAAAAACATATTCATGAAAAGAAAACTAATAAAAACTAAAACCAAGTCAAGTGACCCACCTTTTATAAGTTAACAAAACGCGATTATATGGCAAAGACTTACTCATGGCGTCACTTTTTCGCCAACTTAATTGGCTACAATGTCAAAGTTGCTGAAATAAAAGTCTTCACCTAAATGGCAACTTATTTTAATAAGGGTTCCTTTAGACAAGTTGTGACTTCGACATGAATTATTGGTTAACAGTGTCACCTCCCGCCAAACTGTGGTCGACCATGTTTTAACAAAATAAATTATAAGTAATTATAACTAGCTAGTCCAAAGTAAACCAAGGTCGTCAGTACTATGACGACAACTGACTGACATAGTACTGCATCGGTTTACGAGTAAAATCGTTATGCAATAATTATTTTTAGATGGACGTACATTTTAAAATAGAGTAACATAGAAAACTGGTTTAACTACTTTTAAAATAACGAGCAAACAATTAAGTCCAGCTTAAAGTTTAAAAATCACTTGTTAATTTACAACCGCTACGATTCAACAATAAAAAAAGTGTTTAAATCATGGTGTGGGACCTCAATATTAAACAATTACTAATACATGGTAAGGGAGGAGCTACAGTTTGTTTTGGCAAACCCCAATTTTTATTGTGTGTAAGCAATTAATAACGCATCAATTTTATTTTAATAACACTATCAATTGTTGATATTATATGATGACATTATTATTGTCGGACTCTTATTTTTATTATAATTTGTTGGTAATAAAATCACTGTTATTTCGTTGTAAATAACTGTTATAATTAAGAAAGTAATAAGTATAGTGCATCTTCAAAACTGTGACTGTCAAAAATTTATGTATTCTAGTAGAGTCTTGAAACTACAGAGTTTTCTGTGTTCAAGATCCCAAACCGCAACTAGGTACTGTATGAGTTTTAATGTATTTAACATTTTCATGACTAAATAATCTAACTTGACGTTTACCTACCTTAATAGTGCAATTATTCAAATAATTATTTTAACTAGTTTTTGGTACTGTTGTGCAATTATTCTATGGGAGTAATTATCAATAACACAAAATTACAGACTATAATAAAAGAATAGACATTGTAAATTCAATAAAATTATTTACAAATACCGTCTGTGTTACTGATTCTTTATTTTAATTGCATTTCGCTCTATATCAGTACGGCCTTCACCTCGACCAGTAAGAGTAGAGTCACTTTCCATGAGAATTCCAGTATAGGTTCTGCCTTTCATTTTCAGAGGTCCCAATGATACTTCTACGGTCAAGTGAGTTGGAAGCCGACCGCAAATCTCAAGAGTAGATCCTAAGAGAGGACTAGCTAGCCTACTCGTGTACCTACTTACGTCAGTACGAAGTGTCTACTAAACGTAGGACGGCAATTTTTCATGATGAGTTTAGAAGTTTTTAAGTTTAAAAGCCCTCTAGTATCTTTAAGATCCACCAGTTTTGCTACAGTCTGTTGTCGACTATTTCATTTAAAGTTCAAATATTTGATATATGCGGTCTACCCGGCTGGCTTTGACTGGTAGTTGCGGCCCGCAGTTACCTTTAAACTTGCACTTATATGATTTCACTGAACACATGATGCTTATCACTTGATTTACCTAATGTCATAACTTATCTACATATTTTCTTCTCAACACTTTTTACCATGAGGTGTACGGTTTCAAAGAATAATAAAAGTTTGGGAAATATATAAATACGCCACTAGTCTGTATTCTATGACACATCACAAACCATGCTACGAGTACATGCCATGCCATGTAATTTTCTGTAAACATGCAATGTTAAACATTATATTTTCAAGAAGCTGTAGTTTTCTTGGAAGTCATCGTAAGTAAGAGTCAACTTTGACAAACACCCTGCATGACATTATTTAACCGATTTTATACAAACACAAAAACAATCAAAAGTTGTATGTTCGTAAAAATCTTCTAGAGGTGCTAATTAAATGTCGGTATTTTTACATGATTCCACTCTTTGCCTCCTTTTCTATGATTTTGATGTAGTTGACATAGGTACAAGGTGAAATTGCAAACAGTTGTTTCGTGGGTCTAACTAAAGTTTTTTCGCGCACCATAATCTCTATTAAGCTTTGCAGTTAACTGTGTGTGCGTGTATTTCCTTATTTCGCTTTCTATGAATGAAGTAAATATTATAATCTACGTGTGGCAATCTTAAAACCACGCGCACAGCGGATGGTAATAAATAAATATGAATCTTTTTTTTTTCTTTACGTAAATCGATTAAGTTACTGATTCTGAGTCCCTCCTAAAAATTTGGCAACTATTTGCCAAAACACCCTATATAAAAACATAATTATTATTATTAGTTTAAGGAGGTTGTCGAGGTCATGGTACCACATTGTGTATGATTCTATGGAAAACCGGAACATTTATTTGTTTTAAAATTATCTTCGTTTCGCCTCGTTGTATCATCTAACAATGCTAATCATGAGATACTGCTTAGCGTAAATTATATTATAAAAGGACATTATAATAATATACTGATCGCATTATATGTATGTCTTGACAACAGAAATGACGTGGTCGTGCAACCAGTCGATCGTAGGGCAGGCATCAAACGTTTTTCAAAACGATGGATTCACATTTGTGAACGCGATAAACACTTTAATGGCAGCTCATTGTGCTATCACCTCCGAATCGCAATGGCCGCCTGATAGAAAGGAGGAAATATTGGCAGGTAAGAATTAAATATCAAAAGACTCCTGAAATATTCATACTTATCCTAATTTTGTAACAAGAAAACACATGCAATTAATCATAATTTTTAAATTCTAGATCCAATATTCGATTTCATAATCGTGGGCGCAGGATCAGCGGGATGTGTATTAGCAAATAGATTGAGCGAAAATCCTGATTGGAAAATCCTTCTCATTGAGGCTGGTGATGACCCCACTCTTGATACTGAGGTAATTTCAATAAAAACAGTAGCTATTACAATTATTTTCGTATCATAGAGGTAATGGTTGATTGCTTTTATTTTTTAGTTTATTGGAGCGTTTTTCGACACTTTCCACTCACAAAATGACTGGATATATAGAACAGAGCCAGAACATAAAGCTTGCTTAAGTTCCGCTGACAAACGATGCTATTGGCCTCGCGGCAAAACTTTAGGCGGAAGCAGCAGCATTAACGCAATGATTTACCTGAGAGGCCATAAAAATGACTTCAATATGTGGAAAGATCTTGGAAACGATGGGTGGGGCTACGACGACGTATTATATTATTTTAAAAAAAGTGAACGATTAACTGACCCAAATATGCCACAAGATGAAAAAGAAAAATATCACGGTCTTAACGGACCCTTGAATATAGAAAAACACGTAGGAAGTAATCCCTTCAGTGATGTATTAATTCAAGCTTATAACGATTTAGGCCTTAATACTGTTCACAGTATTAATGGACATCACGAATCTGGAGTATTTAAAACGTTAGCAACTGTTAAAAATGGACGAAGAATGAGCACAGCACGCGGCTTTCTAACACCCATTATTAAGAGAAGCAATTTATTTGTAGCTAAAAAATCTTTGGCTACTAAAATTATTTTTGAAAGAGCTATTCTTGCCACTATAGGAGTTGAGGTGGATATAGCGGGACATAAACATAATTTTTATTCAACAAAAGAAGTAATACTTTCTGCGGGCACCATAAATACGCCACAGCTCTTGATGCTTTCTGGGATTGGACCTAGGAAAGATTTAGAACAAGTTGGAATAAATGTAATAAATGACCTTCCAGTTGGTTATAACTTGCAAGATCACATTGTTTCACACAACATTATAAAATTAGAATTGAACACTACTTTTGGAATAGATGAATATAGTGCAGCTGTTATGGAATACATTGCGTTGAAAAGTGGACCACTATCTAATATAGGTCCGACAGAAGTCACTGCTTTTGTAAATATATTTGATCAAAGATATCCAGTGCCTAACATGCAATTTCATAATATAGTATATCCTACTAGATTTCATGAAGCATTAAACTTGTTTGAACAAAATGAATTCAATGAAGAAGCACTGCAAATAATAAAGGCTCAAAACGAAGAATATTCATTGTTAGATGTCTTTGCCGTACTTCTCAGGCCGAAATCTAGAGGTGTCATTAGACTGAAAAATAAAGATCCCAAAGAAAAGCCGTTGATTTATGCTAACTATTTTGACCATCCAGATGATATAGCTACTATGATAGAAAGTATGAAGTTTATAGCTAAGTTGGCTGAAACACCTACATTGAAGAAATTAAATGCTGCATTAGTACATTTACCTCTTGAAGACTGCAAAGGATTTATCTTCAAGAGTGATCTTTATTTTGAATGTATTGCTAGACATTTGTGTACATCTTTATATCACCCAGTGGGGACTGCTAAAATGGGTCCGTATGACGATGCCAGTTCTGTGGTAAGTCCCGAACTAAAGGTACATGGAGTACATAACCTTCGAGTTATAGATGCAAGTGTAATGCCGAGAATTGTTGGCGCTAATACCAACGCTGCTACTATTATGATAGCCGAAAAGGGGGCGGATATGATAAAAGAATATTGGGATGCCAAATAAATCAAAAACACAAAATAAATCTCGTATTTTTTAATTTTCATAACATGTGAAAAGTTTAACCTTTCAGCGCGGGACACTATTTTGAGATAGTTTGTTGAACTTATCTCTTTCTTGAATTTCATTATTTTAACCGTCGATTGTTACTCAAGAATCAAAATAGTCTTACTTTCTAAATCTGTGTTGCAAGGACATTGTCAACGAACAAGTCTTCCCGGGAAAATTCAATCAAAATATTTGTTCCGGCAGATCGGTTCTTCAAACGGATACCTAATTACTTGCTGTTAATTTAGAAGGATCTTTACTAAGATATTTGACGCACGTAGTTTTTATAAGATCCCTCTAATCGCGGATCAAACGAATACAAAACACACCGAATAATCCTTGATTAGAAAGCAGATGGCTCTCATAATGACCTGACTAATGCAACGAATACTTTGGTAACAGGTGGCAACACGGTTAAATAAACATACATTAGTTAAGTGGTTCTATATTTGCTATGTTTTATTATCGATATTTGGACTCAAATCATGCATATTGCAAAATGTTAATGCCAATCTTACTTTAATGGTATGACTTATAAATATCCAGTATAACATGAAACATCATAACAATTTATGTATTCAATTTTGTAATCGGTTCGCTATATCCTATTTATAGCCAAACATTGTCCACGGGCACTTAAGGTACATTTTAAAATAGAGGAATTCTTGAGATTGATCAATCTACAGATTCAAAAATTTTACTTCTGTTATCTGCGATAGCTAGACTACTACAGATTTGGCCTGCTAATTACTTAACCACTTAGGAGTTAGGACATCCAAAAACTCTTAAATATTATGTTTTAATTCTTACTACGAGTATCTCTCACTTGTGAAAATCAAGTACGTCAAGGTTAAACAAATTTTCTCAAAATACGAGGCCCTAAATGTTGTGTATGCAATCGCCTTCCTTGTTGTAAGTACATGGGATGTAATCAATCTTAGCTCTAGTAATTTAGTACAGGAACTGTTTCGGTGGTTTAGACGAAATTGATTCGGTTAGAGAGTGAACTAGTTGCAGTTGCAATGATCTTATGGAAGATTTCGTTGCGAAACCACGTGTTGATTATAGTCTAATTACGAATTAGCCGGTGGAATGACGTAGATTGAGTTCAGACGCACCTACTTGCACTAGCTTACGGGATGGTAGAAAATCATAGAGTCTTAAGTTATTAAACCTAATTTGTAGACTTTAACCAATGTTAAACTATTTAAAGCAACTTGAAAATGCACTTTTTAAACTTACTTAATACTTATATCTACTTAGTAAGTTGAAAAATGCATTTTCAAATAGTAAGCTTTAAATAGCTTTAAATCTGGCCGTACTTATTATCTCTTAAGGTGCAGTGGTAGGAAAAAGAAGTAGAAATCATTTTTAGAGGAAAATAAACATAAAATAATAATTCTAGGGAAAGTGTATTTGAACACCAGTATTAGTTACTAAGTAGCTTTTAATGTCTAATTTAAACTTACATAACTATAAATATTCATTTAATTTTATGATCGGAGACATTAACTTAAATTTCTACATATTGCTCGATATTAGGCAACTTTTAACGGTATCTGTTACATCAAGTATATCAATCTAACTAACCACGTGTAGACGTGTCCATATTATTATACAAATTTAATAGGGTTATTGATGCTATGTTAGTTAATTCTTATAACTCAAAGAAGCTGTAGGTAGAGACAGACGGTCTGACTTGATGGTCAAGGTTCGAATTCCTTTGAGGCCAAAATTTTGTGTGTTAAACACGAGTGAAATGTGTAGCCATAATTTTAATGACAATAGCCCTTATTATAGTCTAACTATACCGCAGGCGTCTGAAAATATATTAAGACATTGTTAATTATTACACAAACTTAGTAAATAATTTATTCACTAACCGAACATACAGTGTCATAGATTAGTGGAATTTTCCATAAACCATAGCCATCTTAAACCAGATTTAGTGCAGTTATTAACTAGCAGTAAATATGACAGCAACTAGTAGCGATGAAACAATTAAATAGGCAATTTTAAACTAAATTACAACCAAACGAATGTTATGTTTATGGGTGTGAAACCCCAAGGCTACTCGGATGGTATACGTCATCCAAACTCTCTATTTAAGTCAATCGATTCTACTATCACGAGTATCGATATAACAGTCATGACTTCATAAGCCTCGCAACAAAGAATTATTATTATTTTATGTAGATAAAAAGAAGACACCAAGATAAAAATAGGAGTAAATATTAATAAATGCAAAAATAACTCTGTTTTAATTTTTCTCACATAGACCGATTAAAACCGTAAACCGAACCGTTGTGGATAAAAAAAAAAAAAAAAAAAAACAATTTTCAGGAACCTACGAGCCTCGTACTCCGTAGTACGAGGACATCGTCTACGTCCGAAAAATAAACCATTTGTGCGAAACAAAGGATGAAATTTCGTAATTCGTATAAGTATTAAACAATGGCACGAACCTAATATTTTTTAAAATTTATAAAAAATATCATAACATGTTTAAAGAAATCATAAATTTCATTCATCCATGAAGAGTACCTACTTAAATAATTCTTAAATAAAAAGTAGAGCTGATTAATATTTTCAACTGACAACAAAGCGAACTCACACGACCTTAGTAACAAAGACATTAATTATTTACATTGAGTTTATTTCAGTATCCATTAACCTTCCTCAGTTAGTCTTTGGTGATTTTTTAAATCGTGAAAGCAGCTCGCCAGGAGCCAAAACTTCAAGGATCATGCAAATTTTACTTTACAAGTCACGCCTGCCGATTGTCTAGCTGGTAGCTACTGATTTAATGATTAAATAAATCAAATCTACATTACTCGGGCACGTTGATTAGCTAATCACGCACTCGTAGGTGTAAAAAGGTGTAGGAGCGAATCCACGAGCATATACGAGCATGTTATCAAATGTTATATTCTGGAATGAAAAATCCGTGCGTGCGAAACGGATTACTACTGTTGAGTTACGTATAAGGGTCGCCGCACACGGCGCCACAGCCACAAAATGCCACCACCGGCATTTTACTTACATTGTCGTTTGGCGGCCAACGTCAACGACGAAATGCCGCTACACGAAAATTTACGTTATAGGGTCGCCACACACGGGCTTCACACCACAGCAACAAAACTCTGCTGACCATCATATTTACATAAATTTTCGGCCGCACACGGCCGGTGATGGCGTTTTGTTGTTGTGGCGTGAAGCCCGTGTGTGGCGACCCTTACGGGCAGTTCCACTATACTTTATTGAACATATTCAAATAAACAACCCACTTTCTTTAGGTCAACAAAAAACCGAAACAATGTTAGGATGCAACCACGCCTTCATTACGACAACCGGTTTCCTAGTAAGAGCGCATACTGCTACCGCTTGCTTGGTATGAATCCACGCAGAATTAGTTCATTGAAGTGTATAACAACGTGCGAATAGATAAGATTGTTTTGATGTATGTAATCGCACCTATAAAACACTCATAATGTAGGCACACGACGTACTTACCTACATTATTTAACATGCATTCTCTTTCAAAAATAAGATAAAAAAAGTTAAAACATTCATTTAGTTAATTATGCACCATATTTATCAGTGACAAATATCAATATCGCTCAATCAACATGTCAATATGAATACTGTCGAGTTAATTTTCCAAAGCCAATTATTGTTCTTAGATTGCCACACCATAAAATGCGCGTCAGTATAAACATTTGGACATTTTCATTGCAAAATATAGTAATTAAGTCATCATAATAGTCACTTTCAACTTGAATTCCAAAATTGGTAGTAGTCCAAATCATTGAATTAACATACCGTCCGGATATAAAGTAGAATATCTATGGATGCTGTAACTATTTCTAGAGGAACGGGTTTTGATGTTAACCGTGTTAGTTAATTTAGCACGTGTCTCGACTCATCACCATATGTGCGTATGCAAATGATACCAATATGTAATTTTAGGCTGTTACTTAATAGATAGGACATGTTCATGTGAACTGAGTATGTTGCGGCGCTTCTTCATAGCAGTTATCAAATGTTTCATAACATTTTGACAAGTCAATTGAAGCGCCCCGTTTCGATGCTGCTGGTGTGTGAAATTACGAGTACATCTTTAAGGGCATAACGTATTCCTTTTTTTTTGGGTCAAAAATTTTACATTTGCTACAAATGAGCTTAAACATTTTTGGCCTTTTTTCACTGTAGGTAAATAAATCATTGTTTAATTTGCTACAATCATATATTATCTTTCTCAATATTATAATGTAATACACATAACAGTTTTTATTTACAAAATCATATTAAAATTACGATTTCATGTTTCAGTTAAATGTCATTGAATTACTAAATAAATCTAATTCATTCAATAATGTGGTCTAAAGTCACAAAAGTATTCGGTAAAAAATAATAATTACAAAACGGCTGAACGAGCGGCAAATTGGACAAATTGCAATTGATCAACAGCAATGATTAATTGGACCTACTGAATCGATGTAAATTACCTAACACTGATAACGTTTCGAATAATTATCGCTGTGGGCAGGCTTTACTATGCTATGGTAATTAGCCGTGATAATTTAAGGTCCAAATTCACATATATTGACCGACTATTGGTCCGAATAAATCAGTTTCTATGTAAATAGCTGTCAAAAAAAACATTAATGACGCCATTAAATTTTCGGCAAGTTGATGAATGACTCTAAATATTCTTTTAAATATGCATTTTTCTTTTAAATTTTCATCAACAGTTTCAGCTTTTTAAACATAATCTAATTATTTATAATCACAGACTTACAGATGTTTTATTAATTTTCAGTAGTGTTTTTTCTAGTTAGTTATGTATTCAAATTGTTAGCACGCAGGACAACTTTACAGAAATGACCTAGTTTTAGTCTTAGACAGTTATTTCATAATAATGATACTTTTCAGCAGCATGTATTTCGTATTAATTGGAATAAAATGGAAATTAATTCATTATGTATTATCGTCTATCGTCTATTGGTTCACATATCCATATTTG